CTGTCAACAAGCCGCACTAGCCTTCCCCTCTGAGAAAGGTGCATCCCATCAGGTGTCAGTAGACAAAGTGCTGAATTGATCATCCCAGGGTCCAAAAAATGAAAATTTTTTCCAGTAACACCAACCTCGGAGCCATTCATTGACCTGATGGATCTGCCTATTCTTATCAATATTATTCCTTGTTGCTGGAAGGATTCAGGAAATTACTATCTGTGCTCCTAATCCCTCCATATAATAATATATAATATTGAATATTATTATATATATTTATATAATTATATATATCATTATATATAATGGTAAAAGGTCCTGTCTGACCAACCTGATCTCCTTTTATGATCAGGTGACCCACCTGGTAGATGAGGGGAAGGCTGTGGATGTGGTCTACCTGGACTTCAGCAAAGCCTTTGACACTGTCTCCCACAGCATGCGCCAGAAAAAGCTGGCAGCCCACGGCTTGGACCGGGGTACTCTGTGCTGGGTTAGGAACTGGCTGGAGGGCCAGGCCCAGAGAGTGGTGGTGAACGGTGCTGCATCCAGTTGGTGGCCGGTCACTAGTGGTGTCCCACAGGGATCAGTGTTGGGCCCAGTCCTGTTTAATATCTTTACTAGTGATTTAGATGAGGGGATTGACTGTACCATTAGCAAATCTGCAGATGACACCAAGCTGGGGGGGCATGTTGATCAGCTGGAAGGCAGGAGGGCTCTGCAGAGGGACCTACCTGGACAAGCTGGAGAGATGGTCTGATTCCAATGGGATGAGGTTCAACAAGGCCAAGTGCCGGGTCCTTCACTTTGGCCACAACAACCCCCTGCAGCACTACAAGCTGGAGACAGAGTGGCTGGAGAGCAGCCAGACAGAGAGGGACCTGGGGTTTGGATTGACAAGAAGCTGAACATGAGCCAGCAGTGTGCCCAGGTGGCCAAGAAGGCCAATGGCATCCTGGCCTGTATCAGGAACAGTGTGGCCAGTAGGACCAGGGAAGTGATTCTTCCCCTGTACTCAGCACTGGTGAGGCCACACCTGGAGTACTGTGTCCAGTTCTGGGCCCTTCAGTTCAGGAAGGATATTGAGGTCCTGGAGCAGGTCCAGAGGAGAGCAACTAGGCTGATGAAGGGACTGGAGCACAAGTCCTATGAGGAGAGGCTGAGGGAGCTGGGGCTGTTCAGCCTGGAGAAGAGGAGGCTCAGGGGTGACCTCATCACTCTTTACAGCTACCTGAAAGGAGGTTGTAGCCAGGTGGGGGTTGGTCTCTTCTCCCAGGCAACCAGCAGTAGGACAAGAGGGCACAGTCTTAAGCTGTGCCAGGGGAGATTTAGGTTGAATATTACAAAAAATTTTTTTACAGAGAGAATAATCAAACGTTGGAATGGACTGCCCAGTGGTAGTGGATTCACCGTCCCTGGAGGTTTTTAAGATGAGACTGGATGTGGAACTTAGGGTCTAGTAACCATGGCAGTGTTGGATCAAGGGTTGGACTTGATGATCTCGGAGGTCTTTTCCAACCCGGTTGATTCTGTGATTCTATGATAATAATAATAATGGTGAAAAAAACTCAAGTGATACACAATAAAAATGCTCACTGGCCACTGACTGATGCCAGACCACCCTTTCCGAACCCAGACGAGCCGTGCTTCCAGATAAAACAGTCTTAAAAACACCTTCCCCCCACCCCTCCTTCCTTCCATGTTTTCCCTCCTCCCACCCAGCAGTGCAGGGGGACAGGGAGTGGGGGTTGCAGTCAGTTGTTGTTTCTGCCGCTGCTCAGAGAGAGGAGTCCTTCCCCTACTACCGTGGGGTCCCTCCCATGGGAGACAGTTCTTGATGGACCTCTCCAACGTGAGTCCATCCCTCAGGCAGCAGTTTTTCCCAAACTGCTGTCCCATGGGTCACTTCTCCATGGAGTGCACTCCTTCATGAATGAGCTATACCGACGTGAGTCCCCCACAGGGGCCACAAGTTCTAACTGGGAAAAACCTGCTCCAACATGGGCTTCCCTCTCCGTGGGTCACAGGTCTCCGGCAGGACCCCACTCCATCCTGGGCCTCCCATGGGATCACAGCTTCTTTCATGCATCCACCTGCTCCAGTATGGGCTCCTCCATGGGCTGCAGAGGGAGAGCTGCTTCACCATGGTCTTCACCACGGGCCACAGGGGCCACAGCTCCTCCCCCTCCTTCTGCACTGACCTTGGTGTCTACGTTGTTATTCCCATGTTCTCACTCCGCTCTTCCCTGGCTAGAATTTCTTCTGCACAACAATCTTTTTTTCTTAAATATGTTATCACAGAGGCGTTATTATTACTTCTAATTGGCTCAGCCTTGGCCAGTGGCAGGAAGTCCATCATGGAGCCAGCTGGCATTGGCTCCACAGGACAGGGGAAGTTTCTAGCAGCTTCTAACAGAAGCCACTCCTGTAGCCCCCTCCCGGTGCCAAAACACAGCCACAGAAACCCACTACATTCCCCCCAGTTTAGGTACTGGGCATGATGTTTCATACTGTGTAATACCCGTTTGGCCAGTTCAGGTCACCCTTCCCAGTTTCTTTTGCGTACCTCCTCACTGGCAGAGCATGAGACAAGAAAAAGCCCTTGACTTAGGATAAACAGGACTTGGCAAAAACCGAAACACCAGTGTGTTATCAATATCCTTCTCATTCCGAATCCAAAACAGAGCACTGTAACAGCTACTGAGAAGAAATTAACTCTGTCCTAGCTGAAACCAGGACAACATTCTTTTGAAGTGTGATATATTGACAGCTTTCTGAAGCAGATGAAGAGTTTGATCTGTTTCAGCCAATCCTCATATTCTTGATCAAAACTTCTTGCCTGGTGCTCTTCCCATGAATAAGACAACTTGAGTGCACAAGATTAGATCTTAAATTTATTCATATTCATTACTTTATACCCTTCATCTTAATGTGAAATTTATGTCTCCACCGACTTTTATTCCTTTCTTAAATTAAAAAAAATAAAATTCTTTTCAACCAAAGAACAGAAAGGCTGCGTAAACCAGCCTTACAAATCATTCATTTCTTCATCTTCATTTTAGAGCCTGATGAGCTTCTTTAAAAAAAACTTTAAAAATTAAAAAACAAAATGTTTCCTGTTTAAGTAGTGAATGACTGATTATTCAATGACTCTGGAAAGTCTCCAGGTCTTTCTCAGGTAATTTTTTCTTACATGCAGTCATCTGGATGCTCTGTATTAAGCTACTCCAGTTTGTCCACCCCATTTGTCTTCTCCAGTGACTTCAGGGGTTTCCTGCAAGCTTTTAAGGATGTTTTCAGCAATCTGGATTTGATCTCAAGTTCTGTAATCAAATTGTTATGCTTTCAGTTTTATATAATTTTTTTCTGGTTGTCACTCAAGCTCGAGCATTAGAATCTATACCCTGCTTACTGTGCTCTTACAGAGTACTTTCACAGCATAAAGAGAGGCTGTCTTATGAGGGATAAAAAATAATGGTGTACTTGTCATAAGCTCTGGGAAGACTTGCAGATGTGAGGTGTTCGCTATGTTTTTAATTAAAAGCTCACAATAATATGAAACTGCTTCCACTGAGAAACAGGGAAAGTCAGAATAAGAATTAACTACCCATTGTGTACTCTGGTTTCTATCTCTGTGGATGACTTACAAGAGCCATTCATAGTCTTTCTTTATGCTTATATAGATACCACAAAAAGCGTTAATTAAAGCTTCGTACTCCATACTTTTCTTTATGCTTGTACTATTTCTTTTAAATGTAAAAATGGATAGCTCTGCTTTGATAAGCAGCTGACCCAGAACAGAGTATTCTTCCAGTGTATTTTCCACCTTTAACTTTTTGCCATTCAAAAATTTTATTCTGAAGTCTTTAATTTTCTGCTCAGGCTTCGTTGCCCAGGCATTTCAGCTTTCTTTAAGATTTATTTTTTTTTAAGATCTGTGAGATGTATCCTTCTCTGAAGGGTTAACAGAACTGGACTGAGTAAGAAAACAGTCTATGAAGCCAAGAAATTAAATCTAAGTATTTTTGCAGCATAATTGCCCCTTTCTGAGTTCAGAGGTAGATAGCCACCTTGCGGCACATACCTGTGATAGCTTCACTGCTGAATAAAGTGATATTAAAACAAGTAAACTACTTTTTTAATAATGCAGGAATTTATTTGTAAAAGTAACTTTGTCCATGTCATTTACTGTACAGCTTAATGTTTTAAAGCAAGTGCAATGAAGGTAGAAACCTCAATTACATGTCCTATGCATTAACAATTTAGGGAAACATATCCCATCTTTTAATCTCTTTGTTTTCCCACTTAAGAGTGTGGAACAGAGTGTACATCTCCTCCTAAGGCTGGGAATTAATTGTACAAATGCATTCCCTTCTGATTTGACCAGCACTGTAACTGTGGAAGGCAGACTCCAGTGCAGCAACATTCTCCTGCCTTTAAATGATAACAGAGAAAAGCAGAGTTAAGCACAGAAGCCAAGGTGCATTCATTTCCATTCAAACAAGCACTGGACACAGCAGTTGCTAGCAAACAGCAGAAAAGTTAGTCTCGCATTCAGTACTATTGGCTGCAGTTTGGGTATGTGGCTCTTCACTTACCTTGGTTCTCAGCAAAGACCTCTGATTTCAGAATTGAATCTTTGGGGTTTTTTGCAGTGATTCATTAATATTAAAAAGCATTAAGTTAACATGAAATGAATTCTTTCTTCCTGGCTTCATGATATTGTTCTAATCAGTCTGAAGTTAGTTAGGAGACTCCTCTCCCCTTTTCCTCATTGTATGCAACTCACTGGTTGTCTGCCCCAAACTTTTCGTGTTAGCTGCTAACATTTGTTTATGAGTAAATAATTCCTTTTAAGTTTTCTGAAATTTAACTCTGTTCCCCTGGTAAATAAGTACTTAAGGAACTATATTTATAAAACTGTTATTGAAATTTGTGACCACCCTACCACCTAATGTACTCTTACGTGAAATCATTTCATCATCGTTGCTGTGCTGTGTTCTCTTTTCTAGTTTCCAAATAAAACAGTAGCCCAAGTTGCCTGCAGTATGCTGAACATGCTGATACATTATGTACATAGACTTCAACTGTATCAAGCTGATTCACCTTTACGGATTATTCAAGTAAGCAATTTTTGTAAACTTGAAATTTTTTAATTATTTTAAAGGAAACATTAAAAAAAATTTCCCTGAAATTAAAATACTGACAATTGCATTTCACAAAATACCGAATTAGTATAAACATAATCTTACTTAACACTAACAGTAGAGATTTGCAGCATACTTACTTCCTGACTCTGGTACTAACATGTAGTGTGCTTGTGTCATGCCTGTTTTTTCTCAGAGAAAAAATTACACGAGAATGTTGTCAATAAAGTCCAAGGTTTTTTAATACTAAATATCTTCAAATATGTTTATTTAAGTTTAGTGAGAAAGTGATTACTTAAAATATGGATCTGGAAATATATTTTTCATATCCATTAAAGAGTTTCAGTTTAAAGCAAAAATAATTATTTTGTATATATACTTCCCATAACAAGGAAGTAGATTATGGCCTCTGTGAGTCGAAACCACAGAGAAAAGACAGAGGTCTCCCAGGTAACTGGAAAGGGAATCATGTGAAAGCTTCTTAAGAGGTATAGCAAGCATTTCTTCTGGTCCTCTGCAGTCATATTTTTGATCAAGTGAAAACAGGGTGTATACAAATTCTAATAGTTCTAAGAAATAATGGAACACAGATAGCCCCATACACAAACCAGCGTCAGGTTCCTTCCTGCGCCCTACAAGTGTGTGGAATCAAGTTCTCTTCCTGTCTGAATATTTGGGATAGCTGTGTAATTTCATTGTCCTTAATGCACTGACGTCAGTCAAGCAGAACATATTCCTTCAATGTCTTCTGCAAAACTCAATTAAAAGTTTTTTTTATTTAAAAAAATTGGAAAAGAATACTGTAATTTGTCTCAAAATAACTTTAATAGAATTTAACCATGAATCTAGTATCATGTCACATTTACCTGCTTAAAAAATTATTTTAAATTTTAATATTTATGTTATATTTTAAAAGAAATATGTTATGTTTCCCCAGATTCTGATAGCAACTATTACACATCTACTACCCAGTACAGAAGCTTCCTCTTATGAACAGGACAAGAGGGTGAGTATTTTTCATTTCCTCTTAATATGTCAGTTTAATTACAAAGGTGCATGACAAAACTTTTTTTCAAAATTTAAGCTGTTTTAAATCAGAGATTAGGCTTAAATCAGAGATTAGGCTTTTTACATATAATACAGTATAGTCATCCTAGAATTACAGCAATATTGTTTATCCAAGTGAAGTTCTGGTGGGAAAATATGCATTTAAAATTAATCAAGATTGATTGTTTTCAGTAATTAGAAAGTCTCCTTTTTCCTTATCCTCAGTGAATTTACAAGCAAATTAGTTTGGAATGTTCGAACTTGTCTTATAGGGAAAATACGCTCTCAACTTGTAGAGAGTACATTGCAAAACATTTATAAGGTTAGGATTTTTTGGTGTTTCCATAGTATGTACATTCTTAAGAAAGATAGCCTGTAATATTCAAGTGAATTTGATTATCATCATCCTTCAAGATGATTGCTGTTTGTGTTTTCAATGGGCCTGAGTCCCCTAGCTGAGATCTTTCTTTATCTGGTACTCACATTAGTACTTTCTGCCTCCTGAAAGCTGTGTCTCTTCTGAATTATTTGGCTTTGATATGGGGCTGTGGGACTCAATAGTCGTTTAAATTTGGGCACTTTGGTGCAGTTTGTTGCTGACAGCTCCATCATTCTGGGCTACCATTCTCACAGGAGCTGGAGTTCATCTGTTGCTCATTTTGGCCTCCAGAGCTCTGTTTCACCTCTTGTCTGTTTGCAAGAAGTCAGGGGCTGTTGTAGACTACAATCATATGCCAGGCTGCCACTTTTCCGCTTAGGGATGCTTCCCATAATTGACAGAGTTTCTGCATGAACTAATGTTGATCACTGTGCATCAAATACCATATAAAAAATTGTCATAACCTCTTTTGACAAACGGGTAGTCCTAACGTGTTTCTTAAAAATTGGTTTAATATAAAAAGACTCAGCCCTTCATCATTAGGTGTTTCTGAGAAGCAAACTTGCCATGCATCATGTGAAATGAGTGTTATGTTTGTGTGATTTTTGTAGTAAGTAAATGGATTTTCTTTGAAAGACTTCTGTTTAACTTGGTAAATATTTTAGAGAATCTTGCAGCTATTTATGTGAGTTGTTTTCTCTTCCACGGCTAAGTTTTAAAAATTAAGAATAATTATTTGAAGTCAGTAAGTTATTAATAATTTGGTGTAGATGTTTGTCTTAATCTAATTCTATTCTACAGTCTTTAAGAGCATCCCTGAGAGGGAGTTGATTCTCTTACTGACTGAGTAGCCTACTCAAGTTAGTTGGATTTGTTTCAGATGACACCTGGTGCTGCATAACATTACTGATATGTTGTGAAGGAAATTCTGTGTTATTTATAAAGCACTAAATGCAGATGAATTAGTTCCATTTTGTGTAATCCGTGATTCACTTTACAGTGAAATTTATGTGCACGGTGGCGCATCAGCCTCAATTTGGACCTGTGTTATCTCTCAATTTAAAAATAGCACCCTACAAATCAATTTTGAAAACTGAGGGTATCGTCTTATCTATCTGTATAGTATCTGCTCACAGTCTTACCATGACGAGAAACTGTTGAAGGGATGGTGTTTGTTAAATACCTCAGTAGCCAAAGTTTTTACTGATGTCATAAGATTTGAACATACAGTGGTTAAACAAGCGTGATCTGCCATTACTGCAGAAGGTTGACTCTACTGAATTGAAAAAGAAAGCAGAATGGAGAAATAAAATAAAGTGATAAATATGAAGTAACAGGTGCTGGTTTAATTGATTTGTAATTGAAAGTGTTTGTTCCAGTTGGTGGTTTCTTTACTTCTGTGCTTATTGGATTGGATAATGGCTTTGCCATTAAAGACTTTGCTGCAGCCTCTTCATGCTACAGGAGCAGAAAATGATAAGACTGAAAGATCCGTTCTTAACTGTATATATAAGGTACATGTTTCTTTACTTGCTTTGTACATATGGAGGTAGTGTCAGTTTTCGTGGAAATGAAGTCAAAAGTTTTCTGTAAGCTGACTGCCATTCAACTGCTGAAATGTGGAGTGCTGGCTTAGTTCTTGTACATTTCACTGTAACAGCTTAACCTTTGATACATTTGGAATTGCTGATTTTATTTTACATTTTGGTTGTTTAACCAAGACTTTTTTTTGTATGTCATATTGATTGCAGATGCTTGTATTGTAGAAGACTAGCTATACATAAGACAAAAGAATGGAACTTATATACCAAGAAATTTCAGTTAGCAATCAGCAAAGCAAAAAGCACTAAGTTATTATTACTGTCTTTAGGAATACAGAAGAAAGATAGGGTTTGGTTTTTTTTTCAAGGGAAGGGGATTAAAAGCTCTAGCAGCTTAGACCTAGCATATGTAATTAAAGAAGATAGAAGATCTAAAAATAAAGGTAGCCTAATGATTTGTTATGAGTTTGGTTTCTTTATTGTTAAATTCCACTTTGGTTTAGACACTTCTAAGAATTTTCTTTGCAGACCAGGGTTTGTTTCTGTAAACATTAGGCACCTAAAATTTTCCAACATTTGGTCCTACCTACCTGATTCTAACAAATCAATTTAAAAAATGTAAATAAAAATAAACTTAGTTTCTTATAAAACTATCAAGTAGGAATTTCAGTAGGTAATGTAATGAAATTCTGGTTTTGTTCTAGGTTCTGCATGGATGTGTCTATGGGTCTCAATGTTTTAGCAACCCTAAATATTTTCCTCTAAGCCTTTCTGATCTGGCATGTATGGATTACGATCCTTTTATGCATTTAGAAAGCTTAAAGGAACCAGAACCACTGCATTCTCCAGACTCAGAGAGATCTTCTAAACTTCAGCCAGTCACTGAAGGTTTGTCAAATTACCTAAATACATTTTCTTTCAAAAAGATTTTATCTTGGTTTGCAGTCTTGAAGTGTTGGTCTAAAGCATATGTTTTCAGCTACATCTAGGCACTAAAGAAGAACCATTAGTATGGAAAGAGCAAACGTCATTTTGAGCAGTTGCTGTTCGATTAACTCAAATAAGTATGTTTTGAATAACATTAAGATCGATATGATATGGATTCTTCCGTGCTCTGTTTATCAGCAAAAAGTGTTAAGTACTGCAACATGGATAAATGTAACTTTGCATTTTAGTTTCAATAAATTAATTTGTTTTTTTCTTAATTTTGCTTCTTTTTCTAAGAATATTTTGGATTTTTGTTGCTGTCTGAACTTGCAATATTGAATGCTTTCTGTGAATTTCTGTAGCCTATCATAATTTGTTGTCAATTTCTTTACATTGGCTAAAATCACAGAGTTGTCTAAAAAGAAAGAAATATTCTCTCATCTGCTTAGAACCTTAGGAGACCTGGGAATTAACATTTTCTTCACAACTCAAAAATAAAGAATCCGGAAACTATGCTACAGAGGAGTACCATGTATTATGCAGTGTATCTAGTAAATACCAAATGGCTACATTGGGAAGAAAATTGAAAAAGATGAGATTAAGATATGAGAAATTCTGTGTAGTGCTATTCTCCCTCTGTATTAAGTTGTTCCATTTAGGCTTCCTTAAGGGTATTAAGAACCAGATAAATGCAGCAGCTCTTTGTAGCAGCTGTGTGCTAACAGCAGGTGATTTTGTGGTCTGCAGTGACTACGTGCTGTTTTTTATGTAGAGAAAATGGCTAATCATTGTGCCCTTGTCTAAGGCATGCTTCATCATCCTCAAGTACTTTTTTGGCCAAAGAATTCTAAACATAGGGTTGTCCCCTAATAAGCTCAGTATTGGATTGAACAAGTCTGATTTGAGAACTATTGGCAGGAGGAGCTGTAATTATTAAATTTACTGAAGAATGAAGCAAGGTAATATAGTTGGCTTTTCGTCAAATGGCTGTGGTCTTATTAGTAAAAAGTAATCATCTGCTGGGTCAGAATGAAAGAGGCTTCGAAGTATTCATTCTGTCCTAATTACAGTCTCACCTATACATATTATGTAAAGCTAATATTTAAAGCATTTGCCAAAATTAACTTCCACTGCATGTTCTATTACAGTGTAGTGAATTGTAGTAGCTTTTCATGCCTGGCATCTTTTGTATTCTGTAATAATCTGTAATTATGGGTTAGCAGCAAATGCTGTGTGCCATTTTTAATCTGGCAATCTGAAAAGACAACCCTGAATAGCTTTCTCTTTAAATGAATACAGTTGCACAAAGCGTTAGCATCGATATCTTCATTTTGCATTTCCGACCGTGTTCTGTTCTTTTATGATTTCTTGTTAAATTTCTTAATAAAAGTAATCTCAGATGCTCCTTTTATCTCTCCAGATAAATTAAGTTTCAGGGTTCTGGAATTATAAGTCAGGCTGTGAAATTTAATTGGCAGACTACACTATTATAATACAACCCTGGTCTTGCAACCTTGGCACTTCTAGTACCCATTGCCAGGCAGAGAATAAAACTGACAATGCTTGACCAATCGCACAGCATCTGTTCTCCCTGGCATTGTTGGAGGAGTGCGAGGAGTAAAACTAGTGGATAACAACCAGTCTGGGACTCAATCAAAACAGAGGGTCAATTAGTACAAGCTAGCAGCAGAACAGTATGCCAATGGGTCAACCTCTTTTAGTAGAGTAAAAGAGTACATTTTTTTGAAGAATTGGAAATGAGCAGGGCAGCAGCTGTAGGGAAATCAGGGAAGTTCTACAAAGGCAGAGTGGAATTGCTAGGCTCCTAGGTCACAAGTAAAGCTGAAAGTACTGATATGCCAGAATTCTAAAGACAGAGTGCTTTAATGGATGAGATTGATGAACAATGGCAGGCATAACAGAGTACAAGGTCAGATCCATCACAAGTTTTGTGGACACTTAACCACAGCATGATGTGGTATGAGACCATGAAGATATGGGACTTTTAGTGACTATGTAGTGGGGGCAGGATCTATTGGGATGCTGGAGCAAGCCATGCAATAAACAGCAGGGCAAAGATTTCTTAAATCCTCTGGAAATAGGCAATGTGGAGAAAGAAGATGACTATTGGCCTCTTTTTTTCAGTGACTTGCCAAGCTCTGTCTCTCACAAGGAATCTCTTGTACCTAAGATTATCTGTGAAATTGTTCTCCTTTCTGTAAGCTTCAGATAAAGTGGTAGATTTCAGTATAAGATACACAAAGGATAACTTTGAAATGAGGTGTTAAGCATATTAAACTGTTATATTTAGACCTGAATGAACTTTTAGCAGCTGACAGTAAAGACATCATTAGGAAGCTTCTATTGCATCATCAGAACTTGCAGACAGCAAGTCTATGGTGCTTTCATATATCTAAAGAATCACTGGCCTTGTTTACAAGAAGGCTGATGAACTGTTCCTCTAGCTAGTATCGACAACAACCTACTCTAGCTACAGTACAGGCTTACAATTGCTGTCTGTGTGTGGTGGTTTGACCCTGGCTGGATGCCAACTTCCCACCAGAAGCTGCTCCACTACTCCCCTCCTCGGCTGAACAGGGGAAAGAAAATATAGTGAAAGGCTCATGGGTCGAGATAAAGATGGGGAGAGATCACTCACCGTTTACCATCACAGGCAAAACAGGTTCGACTTGGGGAAATTAATTGAATTTGTTAATGAGCAAATCAGGCTAGCATAATGAGAAATAAACCCAAACCTTCAAAACACCCTTACCCCTCCCTTCTTACAGGGCTTAACTTTATCATGAATCTCTACCTCCTCCTTACCAGTGTGCAGGGGGATGGGTACTGGAGGCCTGCAGTCAGTTCATCACATGTTGTCTCTGCTGCTCCTGCCTCCACAGGGGAAGGACTGCTTATACTCTTCCTCTGCTCTAGCATGGGATCCCTCACGCAGGAGACAATCCTCCATGAACTTCTCCAACATAAGTCCTTCCCACAGGCTGCACTTCTTCATGAACTGCTCCAGCGTGGGTCCCTTCCATGTGGTTTAGTCCTTCAGGCACAGGCTGCTCCAGCTTAGGTCCCCAGTTGGGTCACAAGTCCTGCCGGCAAATCTGCTCCAGCACGGTCTTCTTGCTCCAAAGCGCCACCATTCCTGCCAGGAGCCTGCGGCAGTGTGGGCTTTCCACAGGGTCACAGCCTCCTTTGGGCACCCATCTACTCCAACATGGAGTTCCACGTGGGCTGCATGTGGGTATCTGTTCTACTCCCATGGGCTGCAGGGGCACATCCTGACTCACCATGATCTATACCATGGGCTGCAAGGGAATCTCTGCTCCAGTGGCTGGACCACCTTCTCCCCCTTCTTCTTCACTGAACTCATTGCCTGCAGAGTTGTTTCTCTCACATATTCTCACTCTGCTTTTCTCTGGCTGCAATTTGCTTCTGCCCAATAACCTTTTTCCCTTCTTAACTATGTTATTCCGAAGGCATTACTACTGTTGCTGATTGTTTCGGCCTTGGAAAGTAGCAGGTCCAACATGGAGCTGGCTGGCATTGGCTTCATCACAGAGAAGTCACCCCTGTAGCCCCTCCACTACCAAACCTTGCTACGCAAACCCACTGTGCTAATTAACTGCACCTAACTAGCCGGCTTAATTAGCTTATTCACAAGCTAACATAGTGCATAGTGCGTACACTGCATAGTGCCATGATCTGCTAACCTGCTTCTGAACTTTTACTTTTCATTTCAGGACCATAAACATATGTGAGAATTTTTATGCCATTATAGGCAAAACCATTTTGAAACTTGTTCTTCATAGATCTCAAATCTGTTAGAGATAGTTTTGACTGGAAAATAGTAGTAACATTACATAGACACAGTCGTCTATTAGTTACTGATTTAATTGATTTTTCCGCTATTACTCATATTTCTTCAGATATATTTTAAACTCTTTTGCATAGATTGATCTTTTTTCCTGATGTTTTTCTATGTATTTCTAATGAAAAGGTTTTCCCCACATGAGGTTGTCTTAGCTTTTATTTAAGAAATAGAAAGTACTTTTCTTTTAAGGCTTTGCTGTTTACCTTTTTACTGAAAGGAGACAAAAAGCACACTTTAAAAAAATACTTTATACATAGTGCATCTAGATTAGCACAGTTTGTGTTTTATTGAGGATATTTTAGAGATGGGTCCTCTCTAATCTGATGTCTATATAGCTAAAGTTTAACATTAGAAAGGAATGAGTCTTGCTTAGACTGATGGAAAATACAGGTAACTAAGCTAAGCGGAATACTCTCAGGCTCCCTCTAACTGAAGAAAAAAAGGAGAGTTTTCAGAGAGTGATTCATCCCATTGCTCCAATTTGTGATGAATCAGTCTGTACAGGTGCATCATTCTTTGGATGGCTAAAAGGATGAAGAGAGCTAAATTCCACCCTCAGTCATTACTTTTTCCTTCCACTACATAACCGTAGTTGTTTCTAAACTGTTCAGCCAAAGCTGAATTAAAGAGTTAACAACACATCTTAAGGAAATTCAGGTATCCTTCAGTCATGCCACAAATACAAATTAGTGGTGATGGACCTTCAGCCTTTCCACAAAAGAGGTAATTTCAGGGACTGAGAAAAACAGACAATGTAACATGCTTCCAGTAAATTACCAAGTTATCATGTACAGATATAAATTACACTGCCCAAGCCAGAGGCAGTAACATTGTAAAGAGAGCAGTGAGGTGTTCACTCAGGAAGACAGGTGAACAAAGCAGTGAGCATAGACTGCCTTAACATGTAACGATATGGCTTAGTTTGTAGAATTTGTGGTAAAGCTGTGATGGCTTGTATTATTGCAAATTTTGACCTGCCCTCCAGAAACAAAGAGCATGGTTGAGATACTCATTTTAACCGTTTTAGTATATTGAATGTCCAGTTGTTCTGATCAAGGAGATGTGCTTCTAGGGATAAATAATTAATATGTATCCTTTAAGTTGCAAATTTAATTTAAAATTCTCCTGTTTTCAGAAAGCTTTACTGGACTTGGGATTTTTATTTTTTTTTAATTCCTAGGGGAAACGGTCAGCAAAATCTGATTTGATGTGTGGCAAAAATGTTTGAAAATTGCTTAATTTTCTTTATTTCATTTCAAGGTAACAGGTTGCATCTTACAATTTACTTTTCAGTATGCTTAATACTTCTAATTTAAGTTTTCTGTGTCATTGTTAGATCAACAGTACTGTATTCTGAGAGAAGACAGTGAAAAGTACTGTTCTCATTTTATAAAAGAGACGATGACAGATTTATGACTTTTATTCAAGAGCAAAGTTATCAGAAAAAGGCTGTGTTAGGACTGAAAATGGACCTTCTGAACTTGAATTCATTGTTCCACTCTTTGTTATCACTATGTCACTTTTCTTTTCCGTATGTCCCTTAGGCTCCTAAGGGAGTAAATTCATGCACACAGGCACTAAACAACCATGGTCTGGTTTGCCACACAGCAGTAATAGTAATAACATATGCTGAAAGGTCCCTTGTATTTCTTCAGGTTTCTCATCAGGACTTAGCAGGAGGCATGTAACCTACATAGTGTGGGACTGCAGGTATCTGGAAAGCTTACGTGTCTTTACTCCTAGGAAACTGAGAAGAGTATTACTTAATTTATCTGTGCAGTGCCAAATGCTACATTCTTGGCGTAAATATCCTGACAGAGATGGGCCAGCCTCTGCACTGTCCAGGTGCTAGTAAATACTGTGCTGATACATTTTTCTTCAAGCATCCAACTTATTTGCAGTTTGTCTTGTGTAAAACCTGCTTCCAGTTCCTTCTTATATTTCAGCAGATGGCACTATAACTTAATTTCCTTGTATGCTATCAATATCTGGACATTTAATTCAGTATCACTGAATATTTTTGTGTTTGTAAATTTTAAACGTCAAGAAGGCTACAGATAATAAAAATGAAATATCTAATTTGTTTATATTAATTTTCAAGGCCCTCATTTATTAAAATATTTTAGTAGATATGAGTTTTGGAATTGTGTAAACATGACGTTGATTTTGACAACTATTAACTGGATGAAATGTTTCCCTTTTCGCTGTTCAGATCTAGTGCTTCCTAAAGGTAGAGAAGAGCCAGAATCCCAAACATCTCTTACATGCTGTACCAAACCTTGTGGGGAAAAAAAAAGGCAAATACATACTAATGCTTTATTATTGCAGATGCAGAATGCATCTGTCTTCAGAAACTGAAGATCTGTTATGACAGTCAGTACGCAATACAAATTTGCCTTTATTTTTCCAGTTAAACCAATTAAAACATCTTATACTGCAAAAAGAAATTTATTTACTAAACATTAGGTTTTGTTGCATATAAATACACAATATAGAGAGAGGTGAGTTAATTATACTTTACTTACACATCAAAGAGATTACATTTTCTCAGCAAATACTGAATGAAAAAGTAACATCATTCAGAACATTCTGGTTTGGTGGACTTCTAGTGAGAAAGATGGAAAGTGTTTGCAGCAGTTTTCAATGTTTAGAGTAGTTTAAAACACATGACGTAGTCCTGAGGAACACAGCTTGTTTTATCTTCTCATTGTAAATCCCAAATTTAGGGCATCCAAGCCCAGTTACAAGAGAGAGGCTACAAAAACATGTACTTTGCCATAGTTATCTTGTTCCCTGTGTTCTCCTATGTGTAATATTTTCGTGTCTGGTTTCTTCAGTGGGTCCCCTGAACCAGATGAGGGTTGTCTGTCTGACAGTGTCACTTTGACCGGCTCTGTACTTCATGGGTAATGTAGGGTGGATTTGATAAAAATAATTCAATAACAATATTGCACTGGGCTACCAGGATGTGATATAAATATTAAGAAATTTCTTTTGTGAATTTAGATGGCATAACATGCAAGTGGAATGTATGCAACAAAGAAGGAGTTGGGAAAAACTGGTAATGAAATACCAGTGCATTTCACAGGATGAATTTCACATAAGATGGGCAAAATTAACTTGTCTTTCTCCCTCCCAAGGTTTTCTAGTCTGAAACTTCTTAAAATGCATGTGGCATGAGATTTCCTTTTTAAAATTTTGCTAATGTTAGATTTTGTTCAATATAGACAGCCTGGTCTTTGCTTTTAAAATTATCCAGTATTATTCTTGAGGTAACTACAGCTGTATGCTCCCCAGGGAAATTAAGATGGATTAGACCTTTTGTGCATCTATATTCCTTTGTATTTCTCAATGTAATGATGTGTAAAAATATAAAAATACGCTGCAGTTGGAATGGACATCTTGCAACACAATTATGATCTCTACTTCATCAGCAATTTAAGATTTATTTTCACTCGGTAAGAAATGGTGTATTTCAGAAGAACAATGCTGATAACAAAGCTATGGCAAAGGAGATATGGTAGGCTGTAAAATAATGAAGATGCTTCTTTAACTATCTTATGATTTTTCATGCTGTTTATGTAGAAGACCAATCTTCATCAAAATACATGTTTTCTGTTACTGAGTTAGATGTATCCTAAACTTGCAGTGCTCATCCTCTGTTTGAAACTCGTGAAGAGGAGACCAAAAGGAATAAGTAAATCTCAGTGTTGTTTTCTGAATTTTTCTTTTAAAACCTGTGCTCTTTCTTTTACAGTGAAAACTCATATGCAACAAGGATTAATTTCTGTTGCTGCTCGTACTGTAATAACACATCTAGTCAACCACTTAGGCCACTATCCTATGAGCGGAGGTCCTGCTATGCTAACCAGTCAAGTGTGTGAAAACAATGACAATCCATACAGTGAAAGTCCTGAGCTGTCTCCCGAACTTTTTGAGAACCCAAATCTTCAATTTTTTGTGTTAAACAATACTTCCTTGGTGTCTTGCATACAAATACAAGCAGAAGACGACATGCCTGGGGGAGGACTATCTGCTGGACTTGCATCTGCTAATTCAAATGTTAGAATTATAGTGCGTGATCTCTCTGGCAAATACTCGTGGGATTCAGCCATTTTGTATGGACCATCATCTTTATGTGGATCTTCACAACAAACATCTTTTGCACTTTCATTATCTCAGCAAGATAAACCAGAAGATGCTCTTTCATCTTTTGAGCAAGTGGAGGATGTATCTGCAAGGGATGGAATTACACTCCAAGTAAAAAGGAAATTTAGAGACACTGTACCAACATGGGATACAATTAGGGATGAAGAAGATGCCCTTGATGAGCTCCTGCAGTATTTAGGTGTTACAAGCCCTGAATGCTTACAGAGGACTGGTGTCTCACTCAACATCCCTGCTCCCCAACCAGTCTGCATCTCAGAGAAACAGGAGAATGATGTCATCAATGCAATTCTGAAACAGCACACAGAAGAGAGAGAGTTTGTTGAAAAGCATTTCAATGATGTAAATATGAGGGCTATGGAGCAGGATGAGCCAACCTCACAAAAGTCCCAGTCAGCATTTTACTACTGCAGATTACTTCTCAGTATACTGGGAATGAATTCATGGGATAAAAGGTAAAAAGACTCACAAATTAAGAACTTTCTTTTAAGCAATTGTGCTATTCTTGCTATTTAATAGTAGTTGATCATAGAGTTTGTTAAGCCAGAAATACTCAGACCAGCTAACAAAAGAGAAGAGATATGCTACTAAGGCCAAAATGGGAGCTTTCTTCTGCATTTCAGCCTGTCATTTAGAGAGACAGAAAGGATGAACCTGTTGCCTTTATTGTGATTTATCTTCTTTCCTTAGAACAGTGTTTGAAGGCAAATTGAAGGAGTAATGTATTTTCTTTGCTTCCCATGCATGTTCATACAAAAATCGTTACCTTTCTATGCCAGAATAAGACTCAGAAAGTGTCATATTCTCAGCTATTGTGTCGCTGGGTGGTGTCCTGCTGCTCCATCTGCGAAGAGCATGCTTGCATGCAGCCTCAGAGCATTGCATCTGTGTTAGCTAATGAGACAGATGTGTTCCCTACTAAGTATTTCAACATTGACCATGCTTGGGTATTGTTTAGAACAAGAGGAGAGAAACCATGTTCAGTTACAAAAGTAATGTCTCTGTTTACATTATTATTTTTGTGGAGGTGTGGTTAGGTGCATGTCTACATATACATGTGGGTATGTACAAATATTAACATCCTAGAATTTATGGGTCTTTCTGAAATCTTCTTTTACCGTTGCTGTCAAATTCCATATTAGAGTTATTGAAATATTTTCTTACTATGAAGGGAAATGGATATTCTGTAAAACAGAAATCATCTGTGCCACTGAGATATCACTGGAATCAGACAAAACGTTGGTGTTACAACCTTTCTTATTTGGATCTTCAATTCCTCAAGGCGGTCTGATTTTGAACAGTACTGCTCTTAGGCTCATTCCACTGTGTTTTGTGGGAAACATCTTAAGCCCACTTAAAAATAAATGAAAACTGCCTTTCTTGCTCTAACATACTGCTTTGTTTTTTTCTTTAAATTGTTGCAGCTGGCTGGGTGACTACTGAGTTATGCTCTGCTCTCTTCTGCAATTCAGAATAACAAAAGCTCTGTGTTTAATGCACTAAATCCCTACAACAGTAGATTAATGGGAGTGTCTTCTGTCACTAAGCATATATATTATGGCCTAGTAAAGTGTGGCAGCTTATATATGCATCAAAGAGAGTTCTGTCTGTTATTCTGTAGAGAAGAGATGGATCCCAGTTGGATCCAATAGGTTGACAGAAGAAAGTGGAAAGAAATAAAGGTTGTACTCATGGCTATAGTATAGAAGATTTATGTAGAATATAGAAGATTTCCTGGAGTAAGAAAAATTGCATGTATATTTTTTTTAAGATATCTTAATTTTTAAATATTTAAGAAAGGACTGTTGAAAAGGCGAAAGTATTTGTTGACTGTTCTTGAATGGACCTGGAAATGTTCTTGTACTATTCTGTATCCATTAGTGAACAGGTGATAAAAGAGTTACAAATTTCTCTATTTAGAAGGAGCTTTCATCTCCTGAAGAAAAATGAGAAGTTACTTCGAGAACTGAGAAATTTGGATTCAAGACAATGGTAAATTCTTTTAACGACTGCCTACTTATTTGTTTTAAATGTGCCTTTATTCAAGTGACTCTAATTGCATAGATGTGAGAGTTGAGCTGTGTTTTTTAATAATTTTTTGAATTACTAATGTATTTTGCACTGTATTGTTGTTATTTGTATTATATTGAAGTTGGACTGGTGTTATTTGTAGAGCAAAATTCTGCAAATAGAATACCACGAGATAAACAAATTTCAAAATTACTTATAATTATGAGCATTTGTATATACACAGCATTGAATAGTTTTAAAAATTTGATAGATCAAAGTCTCCACATTTTAAGCTTTGGTTAATTGTTTAGCTATGTTCTAATGCTCCTGGTATTTGAAGACATGGAACTCTAGTTGGAATTGGAGCACAGAATTAAAAATTGAGTTAATTTTGTAGAAGTTGAAATTAAATCCAGAGGAGGTTTTAGAAGTGTGAAAAACCACCTTCAGTTGCTCCAATGTCTAACAGCAAGCTGTGAACAGAAGACATTGGTATTTACTTAAAGATTCTTCATTCAGTTGCATAAGCTGCAGTTGCCACAGTGTTCAGAAGGCACTGTTAATAATGGGCGGTGCAGTGTGGATAATGCCTGCATTACATTTCCCCACTTCAAAAGTCCAGCTATTCCATTAACAATTGGTACAGCCAGCACCATCCTGCATCTTAGAAGTGATGAAAGGGGTAAATGCTGCTCAGTTACAGCAAAACTTTAATCTCTAGAGAAGGTAAGACTAGAAAAGACAGAATGGGGATATGAAAATATAGAGGGTATCCAAAAGAAGCCATATAGTTGCACTTTAAGTCCACTATGTATTTTTTATGCTTGAAGAGCCATGCTCTGTCTGTATTGTTCGAATATTTTGGTTTCATATTAGTAAAGGCACTGTTATGCAATGACCATCCTCTGTTTTACAGCCGAGAGACACACAAGATTGCAGTGTTTTATGTTGCTGAGGGACAGGAAGATAAACACTCCATTCTTACGAATACTGGGGGAAGTCAAGCCTACGAGGATTTTGTAGCTGGGCTGGGCTGGGAGGTATTTATTAAAATGTTTTTATCCTAGGTTCGTTTACAGATAAAATTACAAATCCCTTTATATATTGAGTGTTTGGCTCTTCAGCATTACTCACAAGTACTGAAATAAACTTGTTTGAAAATGGAATGTAAAGAAGAATTCCTGTTTTAATGTCATTAGCAATACTAGCTATTTAAAATTAAGCTCTTACAATTTAAGAAAGTTTGTGCAGGCATTCTTTAATGAGCAGTCCTGTACTTGGCTTTCAGGGACTGACTAGGAGGCATCTTGATTTCCCTGTAAGCCTGTAAAGTGTTAAGTCAATTGAAATTTGAGCTTTGCTCAATTTTGGGACTCCAAAAAAGTACAAACAAGCAGCTTTTCACGTACTCCCTCCTTCCTGCATGCCTGGAGGCATGTATCAGTTCACACATTCCACCCTACTTCTCTTCCAGCAGTCAGAAATAATGTGATGTATCCCATCATCTGTGTGGACTTGCAGCTCTTTAGTCACTTGTTTGATACTGTTACAAGGATTTCCTTTTTTACATCCTTTCTTTCAGACCATACAGGTTTAATTACAACTGTAAAGTTCTGTTTGGCACTGTTGCACAGAATACAGTAATGGCTTTTTGCTCCTGGCTGGCTGCATAAGAAGCTGCAGGTTTTTTGTTCCTCTTGTAACTTGTGCTCATCAGGAGTGTCCACATGAGTGTCTGTCTTGTTTGTTCTTTGCTCCTTAGGCATACAGGAGTATATGTTTCTTTACTCCTTAGGTATATAAGAGCACTACCAGATCGACTGTGTGGATAATAACTCTGACTTTCACACAGGAACAGAGGAAAACTGGTAGAAATCTGCTGACTGTCATGAACATAGATGTTTATTTCCCACATTTGGGAGAAAACAAAAACACATTAGTACCTTCAAATATCCTTCTTAGGTGGGTTAATTCTCTTAGGCATTATTAGATAGTTTAAAGAGTTGGTAATTTGGATTAATATTCCATAATGAGACAGCTAATATTTTAATATCTTAGCATTAAATTCTAGATCCTTTAGTATCAGAAAAACAAATATATCCCATATGGGCAAAGATTAAATGTATTCACATATATATATGTATATGTATATGTATATTATATATATAATATATATATTTATATATATAAATACATATTATATATATTACAAGTATATATCCAAGATATAACTTTCTGTAGTCACTGTTTTAAAAGTGAAACAGCACATTAAGCATGCTCATTTATTTCAGTGCCAGACTATTCCCCATAGAACTAAGACTTACAAACTTATTTACAAATTATCAGTTACTTTCCTGAGATTTTTTTTCATATTCACAGAGTGAAAATTTCTCAAAAAAATATATGAAAGGTAACAAGACAATGTAAAATTGCCTGGCTCTCATACAGAGTTTCTTCAGAGCTCAGGTCAAAGTTGATGTGGTATCACAGAATTTAAAAAAATTCAAAAAACACACATAAGTGCCTACACTCAAGTGATCAAGTGAATGCAGTAAATATTTACACAGCCTTTCCTTTTCTCTAACCTCATCTTCACAGCAGCTTCTGTGGTGACCATGGAATATAGAACGCTACTGCACAGCAATTGATTTCCAATCTAGTCAGTGAGTCTGCGTTCTTTCAGAAAAAAGCATAACTACTCTTGTGAAAAGAATCTTCACTTTAAAAGTTCAGTTGAAAGTGCATTTTAAAGCATAAAGAGTGTATTTATCACCTGATAATTTTTTTTTGTAAAGTTTCTTGGACTTTATTTCTAGGTAAATCTCACAAATCATTGTGGCTTTATGGGAGGACTGCAAAAAAACAAAAGCACTGGATTGACCACTCCATATTTTGCTACCTCAACAGTAGAAGTAATGTTCCATGTGTCAACAAGAATGCCTTCTGATTCAGATGACTCTTTAACAAAAAAGGTGGGTGTCTCTAAATAACAGTTTCCCTTGGTAATAAACCCAGAGCAATTAGAGTCAAAGAAAATCCAGTAACTTAAAAAACCCCCAAAACATAAAATATCATAACATCTTTACCTGCTAATAATTGGTATTTTACTGAAGTAGCTCAAGCTGTATAGATTATTCTCTACCACTTCTAATTTTACCATACTGATGATTTTTGCTGTCATTGCAACTGTTGTCAGGAACATATGTAAAGTGGGGAAAAGTGCAGAGAGGTAATGGTTGGTGTAAAAGAAAAAGCATTACATCTGAATGATGTCTTAGTACTTTGAGACCTTAAATGCCAGTTAATAAATATGTGGTGAGTACTTTTGAACATGATTTTTATTCCACTTAAGGGTCATCTTTTGGCTATTAAAATTATTTTGCTTTTAAAAAATAATTAAAAATATTAAGACAATATTTATTGCATATAAGGTGTTTTGTCTTGGAGCAGACACAGATGCTCAACAGTGGTATGATCTCGTATAGCTGCATTAAGAAAAAAATGGTTTTCTGTATTGGTATTTTTTTCTTTAGAATTTAATAAATTCCACATTAGTGATAATAACTTACAGTCTCGAACATGTGTCCTATTATAAATGAACAATTAGCTATCATTAGGCTGTCCCCCCGTCCTGCATACATACATCTTCAGATGTGCTAATCCATTCAGTAGACACGTTAATGAGCACTGGTTGAAGTGTAATATTGAAGGAAGTGAAGCTGGTTGACCTCAGCATGGAGTTTAATACTTGTAATTAAATTAGACAGTAGACAGTTAGTAAAGAGAGAAATAGCCATGCCTCTGGCAAGCTTCAATAATTAATGACTTTTTTGTTCTTTGTGTTCCACTTGAAGAAAAAAATATTATTGTTCTTATTATAGACTGAGTTCTAAATCCTCCCTGTTGCATCTTAGGTTGGTTTGTTTTAGGGGTGTTTTTTAATTAAAAATGTTTTTGCTTGTATGCCTAAAATGCTGCATCCTTTCTGTTCTTTATTTCCTGAAGTAGAGCCAGGGCAGTACTTAGGTTGTTAAATGATTTATAAAAGTAGTTTAATGGCAAAGAATGACTAATTTTAAAATAAGATTGTTGTTACTGTTTCAGTATAGAACAATGTGTATTTTTGTTTCTAGGTGACTGGCTTCTTTATTTTCTTAAACAGAAACTGGGTTTTATAAAACACAGCTTATAATTATCCTTACATTGTTTGTTTATAATCTGTTTGAATTAGAGCATTACAAAGCATTGACAAGGGGAAGGATGGGTCACAGTGAAAAATAATAATGATTAATTTGAAAATGCTGTGGACTTCAGCAAGATCTCATGTCTGTTTCTAGGAGCATGTCAGGAATGAGTGTTGTAGGTTGCTCAAAGAATCACCAGCAAAGGCATTGGCAAAAGCAGGTTTAATATTAAAATGAAAGTGTAACAAAGTTCATTGGCAAGGTTCAGTCTACTACTTCTTAGTGATGGTTAAAGCACACAGAGAAAAGTCGGACTAAAATCTAAAATTAATCAGTCTAAAACTAAAATCAACCAAATATGATCTACATGGAGGCTGGGGATGAAAAAAGGGTAAGGATAAAAAGCAGTGAGGAGGATCCTCCCATTGAGTCACAGAGTGGAACCCCTTCCCAAAGTTAACTGCAGAGTTGAACAACGTTTTAGGCCTAAAGGTTTTAACAGCACTTAAACTTAACAGCACTTAAGCAACAGCCTAATTTAAATTAATTTAACAAAAGATTCCATAGAATTTACTATAAGCACAGCAGTAATTCATTTATAGGCCTAACTTACTTACGAATCTAAAGTACTTATGAATTTAAGAGAGCAGCATTCATAGTACATTTGCTACAGCATATTCACAGTCGCACACACAGACCTAAAGCAGTATGTACAGGTATATACCTGTGAAAAATTCTCCTCGAGTTCAGTGAAGTACTCACATCGGATGCCTTTGCGTTTTCTCAACAGGTGAAGGGTTGATCCTTGGGGAGTGGGATATCAGCCCAGGCTCTATTGATGGCCGTCCCCTGAGTGTAGCAAACTTGAGAGTTTGCTGGCTCTGAGAGGTGTCCTGCTCAGAGGGAAATTGCTGGCTGCAGCCCACTGGTGGTCTAGGAGAGGTCAAAGGGTCTCTCTTAGGACCACTGTTTATGGGGTCACAAGTGAGTTGACTTTAGTCATAGTAATTTTCCATCTTGTCCACAATTCGTTTCAGTAACTGTCTTTGAAAGTTCAATTACAAAAATGTTGTTCCACCTGAGTTGTTATTCAGGCAAGAAAAATAACTTTCCAAGACTGTTTGTTAAAAAACGGGAGCTCGTTAGACAGTGTAAGTTCCTGGTACCGAACAGTGTTTCTTATAAGCTCAAGAGGAGCTTAGCCCAGGTACTGTTAGGGCTAATGAGCACTTCTAAGATGATAGTGCAGCCCAAGGAGAGGGGAGGGAGGGATGCACCACCACAGAACACCCTGAATCTACATATAGCTGTTTCTGCCAGGCAAGGTTCAATGCTGATCCAGACCTCCTGTGACTCAACTTGTGAAAATATTGTCAGCTGGACTTTTTAACAACTCCAGCTTGCTACAGGCCTATTTCTCTCCTACCTTACCCATAATCTCACTCATCAGTAATTTGGAATATTTGAGCTCTGTATAGATATGTAGAGTGTATCAAAAGATTGGGATTATATTTGTGGCTCAGCTACTGATCAACTGTTTATTTAAGCTATTTTATTTCTCTGTGACTTTCTTTCCTGTTTTTCCTCAGTGTTTTGGTTTTGTTCTTTTTAAGCATATTTTCCCAAGAACGGAGGCCTGTGAGCTCTCTTTATTTCTCTCCTCCCTTCCCTAACACCTTTTGACCCATTCCAATGGAATTTAATAGAGACACGTTTCAAAGCTGTTCATTTCAAGTATGTTTAATGATGATAGGCTAAGTGAAGGAGATAGAGGGAGTGAGACTTTTAGTGCTCCTACTCAGCAAGTAAAGTCTGCATGGGAAGAAGCAGTAGATATCAAGAAACCAGCACTAGAGAGAGATGTTATGAAATTCATCCCAAATTTGAGAAAAGCATCAACTGAAGTTTACATCTTGGGAGAAACCAGCAAGTGGTATCAGGAGACATGAGTAGGAAAACAGTCTTAATTCATATACTAGTTCTGCAACTACTTGTGATGCTTGGACTGAACACATCAGCAAAAGGAATGTGTTTTATGAAATCCTGGTTAGCTCACACACACTGTCAAAATTACTTGAGAGCCATGTGAGTTCTAAGAGTTGTAATTGTTATGAGTGCATGTACTGTTCGTGACCTCCAGAGAAACTTGAGATTTAAGCTTCTCTGCAGGTCTTTCATGTGATTTTTTTTGTCTGTTTTATTCAATGGGAGAAAAACAAGCAAACTTGCAGTAGCTGGCTTTGAACTGTTGCTGGTTTTTATTTTGTAAATGTGCCTAGAGGTACATGATAGGTTCATCTTATAAATGGAAAATAAATTAAATTAAAGCAAAACTTCTTCCTGCCAGTTGAGCCACTGCAAAATCAAGATTCTGCTGTTTCAGGGGCTAAGCCATTTTTAAACTTATTTTCCATCAGTCTTACAGAGTAGGAAAAAAAAATACCTCTGAAGTATTTGTTTCTGAAGATGTGAATAAGAGCAAGAAAAGATGTGAATTCAAGAACTGATGAAAATCTTCTGAATGTGTAAAGGAACTTAACATTGAAATGCATATATAAAATAGGTATTTAATTTGCAAATAGTAAATTAAAGGTTTAATGATGATAATGCAATCCATTCTGGTTTTCTTATAATTAAAGGTTAGAGTTAAAAGGATTTACACTACCCTTACAAGAACAAACTTGCAAAGAGTTTCAGGACTAAGTAATGTGAGACTCAGTTTCACAGAATGAGGAATCTCATTTATGTGCCTCTACAGCCTATCACCAGTCTAGTTCCTCCTTCCTTAGGAGGAACTTCCTAGAGGAGTGAAGGCATTTTAAGTGAGATATTATACACCTAGTATGTAAATAAAAAGTAGTAATGTTGCTAATGATTGGAATACTAATTTATCTTGAGCTTTTGGTGTATTATACTGTTCTAAGTTGTGCATGACATCCTCCTAACCACATAAAAGGTTTATGGCTCCTGGCATTTATAGCGGGGGGGGTTTATTGTGTTATTAACATGTAATGAGAACTTGAGGGTTTATAGTTGGAAATTATCAGTAGATTATTTTTTGGAGTTAAAATTGGATACACATGTTGCTTAAAAAAAACCCCAACCAAACAAAAACCCAAACACATCATAGTTGTTGAGACAAAGTTTTGTGAAAAATTCATCTAGAGGGTACATACACTGTAGACAGTGTGCTGCTTGCATTTAATGGACAAAAGTAGCTGCATTAAGCCATTACTTCAGATATCTCTGCTCATTCTGTTCTTTTTATAATAAACACTTTCATTTTTGAAGAAGAAAAAAGTTGAGGCTAGCTGTTGTATCATAAGAAAATATAATAGCCTTTTTTCTCCCTCCTTTAGGTAACTGGGTATTAGAAATTACAGTAATTTTGGCAAGAGTTCAAGGGTTAATGCAACAGATAAATAAAAGGAATTTTCTGTAAATTGAGCCCTGCATTATTTCACTTGTCTTGCCTTTCGAAACCTAACTCATTTAATTTTAAAAAGTAAATACTTAAATTCTTCCTGACAGTGTGCTTTGCTTTTACTATCGTTTATTACTTCAATTATACTTGGTATCACTTAGAACAATCTGCCATTTGGAAATTTCAGTATAGCCTGCAGCTTCGTATTAAGTCTGGCTGCTATTGTAACATGTACAGCATATGACACTAATGTATCAAAATTAGATTTGATCATCCCTCCTGGTTGTATTTATTTCACATTTCTTTTGTATTCAGTTAACATAAATGTATTAGGAGAGCTGACACATGATGATGGCTATAGAGT